GGCCCACAGCCGACCAATCGCGGCGCTCGGACGCCCGCGCGGCTCGAGCTGCCTGCCAGCCGGCATAGAGACCGCTACTCCGCCAGGACGAAAACACCGACCGATACCAGAGTGAGGTTACGTTGCCCTTCACCGCCGCAGCAGTCTTTGCATCCTGGCATCGGGCGCCAGGACCGACCGGGCTACCTCGCCTACAAAAACGCCGCTTCCAGGAGCGCTTTGTCTCCAGTGATGGAGATTCTACTCAACGACGCCGGACCCTGCCGATGCCGCTGCAGGCCCTTACGGTACGAAAGCGGAAGACGGTTTTAACTTCTGTATCAGCACACGACACAACCGTCGTGCCTTTGCCGCGCGGACCGCAGTACGTGCCGCCCCCGAAGCGGCCGAGTATGTGAGCAGAGGCAAGCTCGACCGGCACCACGACGAAGCGGCCCGTGGTACGACCGACGGTAGGTTCGGCCGTCACCACGACTAAGCGGACGCGAGACGTCGCCACCGCGACCGATCCCCCGGGCAGGAGGCCCAGGACACCGACCACGGCGAGCACGGCGACCCAGACGAGTCCGAAGAAGGAGACGAAGGACGCCGCCACTTAGACGAAAAAGAGAGGTGGCCAGCAGGTCAAACGTCGGTACTATTAGATACACTGACACAAAAACCTGTAAATATGTATAATATATAGTGTATAAACTTATCTTACTGTATCGCCTACATTTCTCTGCCCTCCTTTGCAATTCACCTAACTTGGGCCATTCCTACGCACGCACTCAGTAGCTGACTAAGTTAGAATAAGCATAGCTGACTAAGGTAGAATACCGCACGACAAAAGTAGTAGTGCCCATAATTAGCACCAATTTGTCCATCGCATAGTCTTGAAATTGTTCCTTTTGATAATTCCATCTTCTCGCCTCCACCTTTTGCATCGCAACATGGAACAATATCTTACGTTTAAAACGGCGTATGATGGCTTTCTTAAATATCTGCCACGATTCAATTAACGTCGTTACGTTAAGATCGAACCATCTCTTCGCATTCTTAACTAATCTTCTAGAAACTGCCAAAGTAACACGTCTTCCGTAACTGCATGGATTTGAGCAATACGTTCTCCAGTTTGAATCCAAATTTTCACATTGTCTTCGTCCGTTCCAGCAAACTCTGGAATTTGACCGGTCAGCATCTTAACTGCGTGTGCGGTTGCCACCGACGAAATCGGCTGGCGACGGATAACCGAAGCACCTAAAGTCACTGGTACACCATTGTCACTACTCAAGAAATCACGCATTCTACTTTGAGAGTCCTCACGAGACAAATTCACCAATTCTAACATTTGCTGCATCATTAACTGACTTTGACGCTGCTGCTCCTGTTGGCTACGAGCCTGCTTTCGTTGAAATTCTAGCCGTTCCCGTGACTCTTGTTGTTGAACTCGCATCTGCTTTTTTTGAAATTCTTGCCGTTCCCGTGACTCTTGCTGTTGAACTCGCATCTGCTCTGCCATCAAGGCACAGATTTGAGCGAGATCGGATGATCCTGTCGTCGCAGCGCTTGTTGATTGCACCGTCTTACTTTTAGCGGCAGCACGCGTTTCTCTTTTTTGATCTAAAAGATCAGTCGGGCCATGTTTTTCCAAATGAGACATGATCAAGTCTATACAACGCGCCGAATCACCCGGAGGATTTAGCCCATATTTGCGGGCTTCTTCCTGAAGCTCACCAATAGACATATCTTGCAGTCGTTGTCGCTCCATAATTTTTTGAACATCGACAATTGATCTTCCGAGACGAAATACTCTCGATAAGGTAGACAAATGATCGAGGCGTAATATTTGAACACGCCGAACTGGCGGTTATGGCGGTAGACTGTTCGAGAATATTCAAGCGTACAAAGATGGCGGCAGAATTTTCAAGACATAGTACGCGAAATGGCGGTAGACTGTTTGAGAATGTACGAGCACCCTCACATACCAAAATGGCGAGGAAATGCTCGCGCGCACTAATGGCGTAGTACGTTCGAGGCGTAGCACATCGAAAATGTTCAATGTGTAGCACACCGGTTCGAGCGTTTCACTCATTATTAATCACTGATATATAGCGTGGCGAACCCAATGCGCCTGGTCGCTGATCCACAAAAACTCGAATTTAACGTCGACACGACGGTATAACGTCTCTCACCGAAATATCGCGAATACGATAACGGTCGCTGACCCGATGTTTTCCACGGGATAACTGGCCGGAAATACCGTACACGAATATCGATTACAGCCTTGCACGCTGTACTTAATACTCATCCGAGCAAAGAAATGAGGACAGAAGGAAAAGGGAAATTGGTAGCAAGCCGAATTGTACAACGACAATGGCGGCACACGATGAGTCCCACTTCTGAACTGTAAGATGCTTGATTTAATTTGACGCACCGCGACTTGATGTCGGTACTGACCGCGAGTTGGTCTCACGGGGACAATGTCAGGAGTAATGTCAGGAATGGATGGATTGAAGGGAGAGAGACAACGATATACTTTTTAGAAGTGGAAAGTTAATTTTATTCCACCCGAGCCACAGACGCCTACTCGGTCCGACGTCTGTACAACGACTGCCGGTCGACGTGCACCGACCGCTCTTCTTTCTTACTCTCCGCCAATCAGGGCGTTTCTTCCTGCGCAGAGCGCTACGGCGCATACCAATATCTCAAGCGACCAATCACGTAGCATACAGCCCATTCAGGCACGGCGCGACATTTAACAGATCGGAAACTTAAATCAAAATCTTACACTAATATGAATAAAGTAAACGTAAGGTAAATGTCCCAATTACTGACGTACTAACCTCATCGTAACAGTAAATTAATAATGTACATGTAAAAGAAAGTATACAAAATTGACTTTGTTAGAAAGCTTGAACATTTGGGATTCCAATTGTGTTATCTTTTTTTTATTTATGGACAAATTTTAATTTGTTTATAATATTTTCTTAAAAGTAGCTGAAGTACCATTTAATGACACGTCAGTTTGGTTCTGTTCCAATTTATAACATATGCATGCCTCTATTACTGACAGGCGACAAACATATGAACGTTCTTATTACTGACAGGAGGTGAGTATACAAATGTCCCTATTGCTGACAGAAGCTATATATTAACTTTCTTAATTACTGATTATATATTACTATTTTTATAAAAAACATTAAACACATTTTATCATACTGTTTTGTATTTAACAAAATTTATTGCTTAAATAAATTATATATATATATATATATATATATATATATATATATATATATATAATCGTATTTTTGAAGTATAGTACGATACTGACTGTGTAGTACGGAGAGCAGTTTTTTGAAAAACACGAGGATCATGCCTAAATCACCGGAATCACCAGGTAGTCACGCTTTAAGGAGCCTTCCCCTCTCGTGACAGTTCTCTTTCCAGAACAGTAATAGTTATTCGGATATCAAAAATTGGTACAGAATTATATGAGTGTCTCTATTACTGACGTAAATAAGACAACTTGTAGGTTAGAAACTCATATTTATACTGGTTTCTAAATTGTACAGAGGTAAATTATGATATTATGACTACTTTTTAACTTCATAATGCATAAGATTCATAAACTACATGTTCTCTTTAGAAATATATACGTTTATATTATTTTATACCTATTTATTTCGAGTTTGTCAGTAATAGAGACAAATACATATTCTAATATCGATTAATGACAAATACGAATTAACTACGAAAATTTCAAACCTTAACATTTTTATGCTTAGAAATATTTCTAACTTTCTCTCGACTTCACAAAACAATTCACTTACTTCAAATTATTGAAAGCACAACTGTATACATCCAGCAAACAGACATCTCGAATCAGCTGTCACTTTCTAAGATGACGGAGAACAACTGCGTTCAGACTGTCGCTGTCAGAGTACGCTTGTAATTATGATGTTTTAACATTTCTTACGGCTTTTAATTTTATTCGAAATGTATTGTAACCGAATATAAATAAAATTTAGAGTCTGAATACATGCTTAGAATAAATATTGAATCCGTATTAGCTGATTTATTAAGGAAAACGAGTGCGATTGTCATAAATTGGGACACTGTCAGCAATTGGGACATTTACCTTAGCGATAATTGTTCAATCCTCTCAATAATCTACAAACATAGAGAAACAAAATTTCTCAGGTTATGGGCCCAGGTCCACATGTACTGCGCTGAGTTGTCATGAGTTGTCTAGTGTAAAAGGGGAGAGGACGTGAAAGACTATTCGCGATATACCGGGTACGGAGCACGACAGCTATTGTGGGCCAACCGCGTGTGCGAGTTTCGAGTGACGGTGCATGAACTTGTATTAGTCATGTCGGGAGACATCTCAGTCAGGCATATTACGAAATTTGAAAATTGAGTAATTTTCAAGCATGGAAATTCCAATGGGAATGGCGATTTGACAAGCTCAGCGCAGAGCACAGCACCGAAATTGTTTAATGAGTGGAAAGGTTTGGAGAATTTTTTAACATGTCGGGAATGTGTGTGGCATATGGATGTAAAAATAAGGGAGGGCATCGGTTCCCGAGGGACAAGATGATGAAAAAACGGCGGATCAGTGCTATAAAACGCGAGGATTTATACAAGTCCGAATACAAATTCGCGACTGTGCACAAACCACTTTAGACCTAAGGATTATATTACCACCGGCTTTGAAAGTAGTGAGGCTACAATAAAATTAATAAACATATAATGAAATATATGTTTAGTCACGAATTTGTATTCGGACATAAATTCTCGCGTTTTATATTGAGTGTTGGAAGTGTCATGAAAAAGGGCACTTCGCGAGTGAGTGCAAAGAAAAACGCGGGAAAAGCGAGTCAGAAGAAAAAGATTCGTGTGACTGTGCATTTGTCGGCGAAAGAAACGCGAGGGCAAGATTCCAATAACTTTGGCGCTTTAATTTTACGATGGTTTCTGGTAGTACTTTTAGCGCTGAACCAAAAATTATATAGGTCTTATAGGGCTAACCGCTCTGGTTTTTGAGATATACAATGTTAAAGTTGGTAAAACTTTAGATTAAAGGCGACCTCACCGATTTCAATGACCTTGATATATGTTGTCAAGGACATAATTCTGAGTAACTTTTTCTTATAATTAATCGTCGCTCGTTACTTATTAAAAAGTTATTAACAAAAAAAGTTTGAAAAATATAGCAGGATGGGAGAGGGACTCACGCATGGAAAGTGTATGCGTGGAGGCAGTAGGTTCCGCCCCCTTGCGAGGGGCTCCACTATTGTTAAACTAGATACATAGTGTGTCTTCAAAGTACATGCGTCGGCTTTCCACGCGTGAAAAGTTGTAAACCCATGCGGCGCCTCGTTTCATATCGACAACATATATCAAGGTCATTGAAATCGGTGAGGTCGCCCTTAATCTAAAGTTTTACCAATTTTAACACTGTATATCTCAAAAACCAGAACGGTTAGCCCTATAAGACCTATATAATTTTTTGTTTAGCGTTAAAAGTACTGCCAGAAACCATCGTCAAATTAAGATGTCAAAGTTATCGGAATCTAACCAACGCGAGTGTTAATAATAAAAATGCTCAAAGTCAACGTGTGAGTCAGTGAGAGAGCTAAAAAGGCCTATCAAAAGGAGATGTGGCTTACCGATAGTGGAGCATCTGCTCATATGACATTTCGGCGCGAGTGACTTTTGGAGTACCGTGCAGATCCGCGCAGTGGGACCGTAGTACTTGGCGACAACGAAGAGTGCGACGTCGCCGGCACAGGGAAAGTGAACATAAGAAAACTCGTTAACGGCGCGTAGAAAAAATCGTGCATAGAGAATGTTCTGTACGTACCGAAGCTAAAGAAAAACTTGTTTTTGGTTGAAGCGTGCATGGAAAAAGGATATAAAGTAATATGTTCGAAAAAAGTCGAGTGAATTTAGAGAGAGACGGGTGGTTGCGTCTGGAATAAAGCAACAAGATTTACCGAATGCTGTTTAAAGTAGAGCTGCCGAGGAAAGCCGAAGAAGCGAATGTTTCCGCAACAAATTACGTGTGTGACACGAACGTCTGGGATACATTGGAAAGCGTGCAATACGCGAACTGGTCGAAAAGGGGCTAGTAAAAGGAGTGTCAATGACAGAAAAAGATGATTTCTTCTGCGAGACATGCCAACTCGATAAATCTCATCGTCTACCCTTCAAGTAACGCGTCGAGAGAGCGATGACGGAGCCAGATGAGAAAATACACACAGATGTGTGCGGACCAATGTCCGTCGATTCGCTAAATGGTGCGCAATATTTTTTAACGTTTAAAGACGACTCGTCCGGTTTTCGACACGTATATTTTATCAAGCATAAATCGGAGGTGTACGAAAATTTTAAAGAGTACGCGCAGCTCATTAAAAATAAATTTGGAAAATCGATAAAAGTTCTTCGATCAGATAACGGACGCGAATTCTGTAATGAGAAGATGAGCAAATATCTAATCGAAAAAGGTATCAAGAAAGAGAATACCGTTCCGCACACTCCGGAGCAAAACGGAAGGGCAGAAAGGGATAATAGAAACATTGTAGAAAGCGCGCGATCGATGCTACTCTCGAAAAATCTACCAACTTTTCTGTGGACCGAGGCAAGTAAACGGCAATTTACGTATTAAATCGAACAACATCCTTGGCGAATTCGGCTACGCCTTGAGTTATGAGTCGGCAGAAAACCAAATCTGGTATTTTACAGATATCAAACATATGTCCA